AAAAAAAAAAAAAAAATTTGTTTTTAGAGAAAAACGTTTTCAAAAAAAAAAAAAGACCCGGTGTCAAAAAACCAAAGGGGCAAAGGGGTAGGGAAAAGAAAAGAAAGGAAAGGAAAAAATGGAAACAAAGTCTTTGTAAATACAGAGGGGTGGAGGGGTTGAAGGGAAGGCAGGGGAATGAGGAAGAAATGGGAACCAAGATACATCATGTAAAGGTACAAGTTCCCAATGATGAATGTAAATGTATTGTATACCTAAAATGTACCAATAAAAGAATTTAAGAATAATTTTTAAAAAAAAGGGAGGAAAAAGAGAAAACAGAAATGACATCCTAGGCAGAAATATTTTAGAAAATAGATATAGAGCCAGGCATGGTGGTGCACACCTGTAATCCCAGCACTCGGGAGGCCGAGGCAGGAGGACTACTGTGAGTTCGAGACCAGCCTGGGCTACATTGTGAGTTTCAGGTCAGTCTCAACTACATAGTGAGACCCTGTCTCAAAAAAAAAAAAAAAAAAAAGAAAAGAAAAAATAGATACAGATATTTCTATTAGCATCTACCCATTCTCATTATATAAACACAACAGTCAATGATTTATACTTTCTTTATGGATGTTATTTTTCCTTGCCTTGTCTAAAAAAAGATGTTATATGCTGTCTACTCATGGCAAAAAGATTTTGATTTCATTTTATAAACTGAACTCTAGATTATCACTAGCTCAAATTCATTAAAAGCACTACATGCTAAGTAACACCCAAGCATTTTCTATGCCCTCACTTATTTCTTACACTTATGCTCTATAAAGTATAGACTACTGTCACTCTGAGGAAACTGAGTCTTGAACAGCTTTCCAGAGGCCACCCCGTTAGTAAGAGGAAGTGCTAAAATTTGAATTTAGGTCATCAGGCTTTAGTATTTAGAAAGAGTTCAACTTTACACCATCACCACTGGACTGGACTGCTTTTGTAACAAGGCAGATTGGGGCCTTTAAACAGATGAAAAGAATGCCCCTCTATATGCTTTAAAAACAAAAACTAAATATTAGTAATTCTTATCTGTACCTCAAGAGAAACAAGCATACTTCTCTGTGGAATTATGTGTTTACCTTTGCTGAGCCCCTCTGTTCTCTACATACATGTATCCAACTGGATTAACTCACTTGTATGCCCCACAGACTATTACAGTTATTTAACAATAGTTAATGTTCAACATACAATTGGAAAGATCAAAAAAACTCATCAGGTGTATAATAAATATTGAGTGAAGACACCGATGATAATGAATAGAGTTTTCAATGATACAAACAGCCCACTGCAGCACAAGTGCTGTAGGTTTGCCACCACTGAAATAGCCTATTCCAAAAACCATTAGGGACAGGTATAAATGGTTTATTGGCCAGAGCTGAACCAGGGTTGGATCATAATCCTTAAATTATGTCTGGTCTGTTCTTAAGTCTCAAAAACAAAAAAGTCATTATTAAAGCCCTGTCAAGAAGTAAGTCATCCTTCAAGCTAGTTGCAACTGTCAAGATTATTCATGTTTTTCTTAATGCAATACAATTCACAGCGCACTTCAGTCTAGGAGTCAAACCCAGAACCTCCCGCATGATAGGCACATATGTTTACTACTGAACCAAACCTTAGTTCTAGAATCAAATTTTATCTTTACACAAATGCCTGACCACTCACTGCCTCATTTTTACTATCATTTTTTTGGAAACCTCCCTCCTGCTCAATTTGCTTCTTCTTTCCTTTTGGTTTTGTTTTGTTTTTCTGCATTATTATGGATTAAACCCAGAACCTCTGTTTTCACTCAGTTACATCCTCCGTCCTTTGTTCATTTTTCTTCCCCCCCCCCCAGATTGAGACAGGATCTTGCTATGTAGTTCAGGCTGGCCTTGAATGCATTATGTAGCCCAAATTGGCCTTGAACTCACAGACATCCTCCTCCCTCAGCCTCCTGAGTGCTAGGACTACAGGCACATGACACCACGCCCAGCAGTTTTTCACTTTTCAAATTGACAAGGGATCTCACTAAATTGGCTCTGAACTTCCAATCATCCTGCCACAGCTTCCCAGGGTGCCTGGATTACAAGCATCTCCCATGCCCAATTAATTTGTTCTTTCTTGAGGTACAACAACTGGAACCAATTCAAAAGTCTAAGAGTGGATTTATTGTGGTTTCTTACCAAAATAACGCAGTGTAAAATGGGGGCGGCAAGGCATGCTGGAGATTAAACCCAGGGCCTTATACTTGCTAAGCATGTACTCTACCACTATGCTACAGTCTACAGTACCTTTTTATTGTTTATACTCTTCTTGGGAATGATTAACATCTTATTGACCTTTCTGGCAATATATTCTAGTAACATTCTCAGGAATAAACTAATCACTTGGCTTCCTATCTTTTTTACCATGTTGATGATTACTAGCCATTTTTCAGTGCATGCATACAGATATGAAAGATATATCCATTTTATTCTACTTAGCTTTCTCTTCCAAATATTTATTAGTGCACCTAAGTTACTAACTTACCAGAAAAGATGTCACAGCAAAATGGGAGGCACCTTAATTTGTTCTTTTACAAGAAATAAGAACATTTTAGTAGCATTTCCAAAAGATATACTCTAAATCTATTTTGTATATACTCTATATTTAAATATCCTGAGAAAACCCCATGTCCATATGTTGTTCCTTCCTAGTACAAAATTTTTTCTCTTCCAAGTCATAACTAAATGTATGTCACAGCCTTTGGTATATTTATTTCTTCAAAGAAAATAAGCTTTCACTCTAATGTGCTGTTTAACATTCTCATGTAAAAAAAAATCATTTAATCTCAGAAGTAGAAATTATGATCTCCATTTTGCAAGTAAGAGCTGAAACTCAAAAAAGTTTAGTAACTTTCCCAGTGAGTCTCAAACCCAACTCTTTTAAAGTCCCAAACCAGTATTATTGCACTGCACTACCAGGTTTCTCCTTACTCAAACTATCACTGGCTGTTTTCCTGTAAGTCACGTTCATGTTGTAAACACGATCTGAGGCCAATAATCCTATTCCTTGTTATGGAAACCACTCGTGTGCCCATAATTCAGCTATGTGTCCAGGACTCCATAGTGCAAGGGTTCTTAACTAGGGACCACGTAACTGACCTTCTTCTAACTAGATGTATACAAAGAATTACTGATAACTTTGGTTTTTATTATGAAACAGTCTTCAGATTATTTTTAGGATAGAAGGGCCACAATAGGAAAACGATACTGTCATTTACTTTACTATCTTATCTCAATAATTTTCAATTTTGTCACCTATAAAATGGGGATATGTATCAGGATTTGTGAGGATTAAAATAACTTACTATGGCTCTTTGGTGGCATTTAATTTCTGATACTACTCTCTTTTCATTCTTTGCATGCTACAGCCTATCATATCAAAATATCATGTTAAATCCAACTTTAAAACTCATCTTAAACTTCACTTACCTTCCCATGCAAACTCAGTTTTCACATTACCCTGTAACATTTTCACTACTCTAAAATCCACCGGATCTAACATTTATATCTTGTGTGTACTTGTATGTTGACATGTTAAATAACTAAGACAGCTTTTACCTTCTTGTGGGCAGAAAATATGTCTTAATTATTCCTTACCTAACCATGTAACTACACAAGTAACTAGCAATCAAATGTATTAAACCACTTTTCCTTGGTAAAGAATATGACAAACGTTCATTAAGTGAAAGTATAACACCAAAGTTTATGATCCATTACTTTGCCTTAATCACATTTCCACTGATGTACTCAAAATGTTATTAGTCGTAAACTTTTCTACTCATATTTGTGCTCTCTACAGATATTTCTTATCTAATCAGATAGTCAGAAATCAGTTTGAATTCTAAAACAAAATGTAGAACACAGTAAACTAAAACAATGAGATTTAATCTCTTAAAATTTTTATTTTAGAATCTAGAAGGTATAAACTTTTACATAAAGTCATGCAACACTTCATAGCAGGGACATACTCTGAAAAATGTGATGTTGAGGTGTTACTGTCATTGTTCAATAAGAATATGCTTACAAAGTTAGATGATATAACATACTGTACACCTAGGCTGTATAGGACAGCCACCACTACATATGTAGTTCATTTCTGGTCCCAATGTCATTATGCACACATGACTACAGTCATTCCTCAGACAGGTTGCAAGATTCCCCCGACACTAAAATCACAGATGCTCTAGTGTTTTATATAAAATGATGTAGTATTTGCATATAACCTACAAGCATCTTCCTACATACTTCAGAACGTAGCTAGGGGAAGTAGCTCTCAGTGGTGCCTAACCTGCCTGGCAAGCACAAGATCCCGAGTTCAATTCCCAGTACTGGGAAAAATAAATAAATAAATCGTTATTTATTTATTTATAATAATTATTTATAATTCCAAACTCAAGGTAAATAATATGTAACTAGTTGTCACATTGTATTGTTTAGGAAATAATGACAGGCAAAAAAAAGTCTGTACTCATTCAGTACATGCAATCATCATAGATCAAACTTCATAAGTACAGAAAGAGAAGCAATGTGAACAATGCTCAAACAAGGGCAGGGGAAGATGGAGGATCTGTAAAATAGGGAGACACCACAGCAGAGTACACCTACAATCACTTCATCCTCAGAGATTCATCATAGTGCTCAGTCTGCAACATATTTAAGGTTTGTTTTTTTAATGATGCAAAATATTTATTCCAAGTTAGTTATTTTATGCAGTAGTTTAAGATTTGGTTTTTTTTGGGGGGGGGGTACCAGGGATCGAACTCAGATCCTTGCACTTGAGAGGCAGGTGTGGAACCACTGAGCTAAATCCCCAGCTAAGGTTTATTTTTTGCAATTTTCTGGACGTTTTTTCTTTTTAATATTTTCAACCCAAAGTTGGTTAAATTCGAGGATGCAGAACCCGTGGATAAAGAAAAGCAACTGACAATCTTAAATCATTGTTTTATAGGAATAGCAGCTTGAGAAATTCTAGCATAGAACACAACCACAATACAGTAGAATATTATTTGATGATAAAAAAGAACAATGTCTACCTACTACACATACGAACTTTGAAAACATCATGACAAGCCAGCAGTAGCATGAGAAACCAGTCACAAAGGGGCACATATTTTAAGATTGTACATACAAAACAGAAATTTCCAGAACAGGCAAATTTACAGACAGCAAATAGCTCAGTGGTAACTAGGGGTTGAGAGGGAACATGGGGAATGACTGCTTAAGGGACTTCCCGAGTTTATTTTTGGGGTGAAGAATTAATGTGATACACAACTCTATGCATACAATAAAAACTGAGTTGTACTTAATTCAGCTTAAATTTTTGGTAGTGAAACCTATCTCAACAAAGCTGCTAAAACCATAATGAAACCTGGTAAAGGAAATCATGGAAATCACTGATGGGAAAACTAAGCTGGCTACCTGTGATGTTACCACCCCCCTTTCTAAAAAATGTAACAACATAAAACTTGAGACTGTAAATCAAAGAATTCTGGGCACAGTTGGTTAACTAACAGTTAAGTGCCTTCTTAGGCTCTATCACTAGTAAACTGTAGGGGGCTTCCATCCTCGGCGATTACGGAAGTAGTACTTTTCATCCAGAGCAGGCTCAAGAAGGTCTGTCAAAATAAGATGACACTTCCCCAGACTCCCTGCAAAAGCTTAAAAAACCCAAAGGGGTGTCACCTACATACTCCTAAGTCTGTGCACGTGTTAGCCTGCCTCCACCTACACCAGCCAGCAACGCGCACCATTCACCCATATCTCAGCCTGCTTGCCACAAACTGACACACTACAGAGCTCCTGGATCTCTCTTTTTTTTTTAATTGACAGGTGTAATCCTCACCAAGTTCCCACTCCAGTCTGACCAGCCTCCGCCCTGCCCCTCCCCACTCCAAAACCCACACACGTGTTAGCCCGACACCGCCCCACCGGGTTCCACGTGCACCTGGTCTAACACACACCCCACGTGTGGGTGCCCCACGGGCTTCCTCGGGTAGCTGAGGTCACTGCTTGACCCCGGATCTCCAGAGCTAGAAGGAAAGGACAAGGCCCTGGTCCCTGAGGTCCCAACCCTGCGGGGAGTGTCCACACCCATCCTCCCCACTAACCCTAACAAATCCCAGGGCCGGGGGCGACGGCCCCTTTAAGACGCGGCCCAGCAGTCGCTCAGAGAGAGGGGCGCACCGGGGCCTACACGACCCCCCCTCGGTTAGCTCGCCCACGTCCAGTCACCTCACCTCGGGCCGTGGG